TCAGGCCAAGTAAAAATGACTCTATTAGTGTCTGTATCGGTATTTCAGTTCATCAGTCAGTTTGTGCTTGGTAATGGACATTACGTCTCCTGCAGGGTGGAAGGGACAATTAGGCAAACTGGACATATTGATGCAGGGAGGCAGGTTTTGCCCCAAGAAAACTGAGGTAACCCAGATTGATTTAAATAAACCAGTTCAAGGGCCGCAAAAGAAAAACTTTACATGCTCTGCTTGTGCGTGTGTGGCTTTTCCAGGGTTCACCATTGGACTGGCGACCAATTCAACTCCGTCTTTTCAGCCTCAGGAGCATCCCAGGTTCGGTTTAAAGGATCGTTGTGCTCTTTGCTGCCTTTTTTTGATCCTGCAAATTGAACCGTGAAGAACAGGAAGTCCATCCCCCGCTTCTTCAGAGAGATCAGAGTTTAAATTCTTGCAGACTCCAGTGGAAGACTCAATGCCCCGCTTGATTACTTCATCAGTGCAGCGGTAAGACCAGCTACCCTCCAGGTGATCCTGCTGCAGAGGCAAACCCTGAATAGACACTTCCCCCCGCCCCCCATTTTCTTATTCTTTCTCTCTTTTTTTCGTAATCTGATATCCTCTCGAGCTTAAGAGAGAGGCGGATCTCGAGAAATCATGGATGTGTCACGGTTAAGGAAATGATGCGACTGGTAGAAAAGGTCAGAGGGAACGTCGAAAGATAAGGAAGGGATCAAGAAAAAGACGAGTGTGGAGGGTTGTTGAGTGGGCAGAAGAGGAGCAGCTTGTCTGAGCCAAAAAAAAAAATAAATCAATAGGAGCTTGAGAGTCAACAGCATGTGGGTGGTTAATGGCATAATTCAAGCTCATTAGCACAGCATTTGACTTGATTGCTTGACCCTTACACCCGATCATCCCACTCTCACAGTTCCTAAAACTTTTGACAGATAAAGAACCAGCTGAGCTCACCCACCTGTTGTCCCAGAGAGTTTTTACTTCTCAGCAAACCCAGCCTGACAAGCCCCTGGGTTGTTTGCATTACGGCGAATGGAACACAACCGGAAGCTGGCATATTTCCTGTTTTGCTCCGGGGAGGAGTTCAAAATTGCTCTTCCGTCGCTTCTTTTCCAATATTCTGCAGCAGAAACGCCGTCACACGCAGAAGAAACGTACACCCGTCAGATTTCCGTGCTCCCTTACAGTCATTCAAAATTGAATTAAAATGACTGATAACACCCAATCAATGGGGAGTAATTTCTGCAAATGATGCAGCGCAGTTCGCAGACTGCGGCCACGTATTGATTCAGCGGCAGCCTGCAGTAAAGCCATCCATCTTCCATTAAAAACAATCTATTCTAATTTCCCCCTAAACTGGTTTTTTAGTGCCGTGGAAGGGAGGAATTATCCCGAGCCACCGTGTGCAACAAATTACACGTCGTTAAAATAAGAATATATTATTGTATGCAGTCATCGTGAGTTCCTGGAGGTTTTAAATAAAGTGCGGTAATGTATGCGCTCATTTTAAATTCCCTGAGGTTTCTGTTGATTGCAGCAATCATGAAACCCCCCCCCCCAAAAAAAAACGGCTCTTACAGTTGGGCAAGAAAGTGTCTTGGTTGAGAAAAAAAAAACTCCAGGTGCTCCTTTTTTCCTTTACTTTCATCTCTACATTCAAGTTAATTTCGTATCTGCACAATGCTTGTGTTGTTTTGCATTGGTCAATACAAAGTCAGATTTAAGGAGGAATAGTTCAGATCTCTTTTGCACACTGTTTAGTCTTTATTCCTGATGATAGAAGGACTCTCTGGGCAACAGCTGTTCAATCCAACCAGCCTGAAGGTCGTTTCGTGGATGAGAGTTGGTCCAGGTGTTTTTTTTCAATTTCGGTCACCCAGAAGCCAAACTGCACACAAAGAAGAAACGGAAAACCCTAACGAAAACGAAAACCAAAAACTGAAAACTGAAAACCGAAAACCCCAAAATGAAATTCTGCTGAAAGTTTTAAGATAAAAATGGACAAAACCAACAAGTCGACATGATTTCTAATCAAGTTGTCTTGTTGGTTTTGTGTTTCAGCAGGCAAAAACAAACAAACAAAAAAAAATCACACCCACCCATATACATTTTGGTAAATGTGTGTTTGTGGCTAAATACACAATAAACATGATCAAAATAAGATTATTTTATTTGAACCTAGAGAAAAAAATTACAACATAATATCTCTGACTCTTCTCATCAGGACGGCATTTTAAGACCTAAAGGCTTAAGCTGCATAGCAATTATGAATCGTCAAGTTTTATTGAGTTCTCAACTACCACAAGAAGATGACTCACCATAAGAGAACTACTTGACTTGTATTGATTGAGTTGCTCCTCAAGAAATTTTTTTTTTTTTTTTGTTGTTTTTTTTTTTTATTATTATTATGAGAGCTTCAGGCTCATAAACAGTGAAGATATCAGTATCATGTGTGGAATAAAAGCTAATTTTAGCTCAGTCTAATCTCATGATGAAGAACTTCTTCAAAAGTCTGGCTCGGAAAGTTTAAAATTTGACAGCTTCTTCCAGAACCTCTGACTTTCAGTAGTAGCTGTAGCTGTCCATTCCATACATTCATGCACAAAAATAAATCCTTTGTTGACCAGTTTTGAACGTCGCTCGAGTCTACAACCTCAACCTTCTCAATGCTAACCCCGTTAGCTGCTCTAACTATGTCTAAAATCAACGGTAAGATCATTTGTTTTTGACTTGTTGAGATCCAGTGAGTTATCGTGAACAACGTTTAACATTTCTCCTCTGGAATTTCTGGAAAATCTGGAATTTGTCCAGATTTTCTTTTTTTTATCCCCATTCTTTTCCAGAACACTTAAGTGAAATTCCAGTCTTTTCCAAAGAGCTTAGGAATCCTCCATTAATCAGATGATCAGACACATATACTTCCTTAATCTAACCGAACTTAATTAAGAGCTAATCCATCATTCTGAAACCCATTAGCAGGGACCACCTGTTGTGTCCTCCATGTTCTGCAATAAACCCCGACTTACAGTGGGCCTTTTCCCGCGTTCTGCTCAGTTTTCCCATAGTCAGACATCGTACTGCGAGCACAGCCTAATGATCGAAGATAATTTGCTGCTCGGGGTTTCAGAAAAAACTCAATCCACAGCTGAAGTTTCACCCATTCCCTCGATAAACGCTCCTCTAAAACACATCCATTCGGTTCGCTTTGAAGACAGATTTGCACCACTGAAGTCTACGATCAATCTGCACGCCATACCTGAGAGATAATTGCACTGAAAGCTTCACTGTGTCAATACGGACAGCTTATGTCTGCATAAGGAGTAGTGTTTTTACTGCTTTAATGAGTCAGTCAGGTGATGCTTAAAGATTCAAATGGCCTGTTCGGATGAGGAAGGAGTCCCTCTGGTTGCACAGTCACAGTCGCCACCGCCGCTCCTGAATATCGACTGAGCCTTGTAACCCCATCGGTCTTTCACGCGAGTTGCGCCAACGGGTGGGTTTTTGCTTTCATAAGGAAGTCACAGACGACTGCATGGCCACCAGCGAAGCTCCCGGCCAGTGCAGGATTTTTACTTTTTTTTTTTTTTGGACAGGGTTAACAGACGATCAGTGAAGAGTGGCTCCCCGTGGCCCGTCTCCTTCCTTACCCCCCATCTCGGCATCAATCAATACCTGTTAACAAAAGCTCTGCCAGCTTTCTCTCCACTCTCTCTCTGCACTCTTATTCATATTTCAGGATGTTATTAGAGAGCACAGCGAAATGTCAGGATCTTTACAAGGTAAATATCTCTGTGAATGTCATGGGGAGAGTCGAGGGGGGTTGGAGTGAAAGTACTTTCCTACAGTGCCGAAGTAGGGGAGCTGCCAGCGTTTGGGGCAGGAGTGATGTCTCTGCCAGCGGCTATTTCACCAAGTCGTTTGTTTCTGCCGTGTTCTCAGTGATCACATTGGCGTGGGAGTTTGCATTTTAATGTCTGGCTGCAGAAGGAACTGAGGGAAGATTTAGAGGAGGAAAAAAAACTGAAATATGCAAGCAGCAGTGGTTCTCACTAAGGGGAAAAAGAAGGTTTAGGTAAGTGGACTGCAATGGACCAGATACTACTTACAGTTGAAGGTCCATTTAATGAGTTAACACAGTTTTCTCTAGGCATAAACAGCTGACTGCACGTATGACAGTCATTTTTTGAAATATGACACGTTTAACAGGGTGTACATCTACAAAGAGTTCCCATTTAGTCTAATGTATCTTCCCATAAGTTTTGGGGATCATCTGGATGGGATTTGTTTAGGCAAATTCTGTTTGGTTCGCAGTGGTGTTTGCCTTGCAGCTTGCCCACTGACTTGTTGTCCTGTCAAATCATTCAAACCAATCTTAAATGAGACAAGAGAGACCTTCAGGTATTTCTTGTGACCTCCTGCATGAATCATCAATGCACTGTTGGAGTAATTTTGACAGGCAGACCTATCCTGAGAAAAGCGAATAGCTCTATTCCTTAGTAAATCAGCATCTTTTATCAAGAAAGATTGTATAGATTTTGTACAGGAAGCTATACAGCTGGAATTACCAAATACCATCTTAGCATAAACTGCGACATTTTCACTCAAAGTTATTACGCAGCGAAAACTTCCACTTTCTGAAGCTGAGGAATGCAGACCCAGATTAAAAAATACGAGGCTGTGTCTTCACAATCCACACAGCGCCTCGCAGGAGTCTCTCCTGTCCCTACGGCGGGTAAATCAGTCGTGTCTGGGAAAGCTGTATGTCTGATCAAAGCGGTGAACAGAATGCATTCAAAGCAGGTACCCAGGCTGACTTTACAGCTCATTTCAAGTTGTATGAGGGATACAAAGGGGCTCCAATGTGGGGCCTCCTGGTCAGGAGAGGGAGAATTGCCTTCATTCTCTTCCCTTCTCCACGCGAAACATCCGCAGTGATGACAGCCCAGACTCCAAGGGATCGCTTGCTATTTTTGAGTTGCTTGTTTTTTGTTCTCTCCCTCTTCTAGGCAAACATCTGCACGATGCCTCTGAACGACCGGCCGAGTGCAAAGAAAGAAAAGACGATGAGAAACAAAGTCTTTGCATTCCCCGGTCAGCTTCCAGGATTGTTGGACGCCTCCGCCTCAGTTAGGTAACAGCGAACAAGAGCAATCAAAGATTCATTTGACAGGAAGCAAGAAGGCACAAGAGTGCCGCTTTTCCAGAACATGCCTCTTCATGGCTGGTGACAGCCAGAGTGACAGTAGCTCCTGTATGACCTCATTCAATTGATGCCTCCTTGAGAAGACATCTCCTTTCTGTTTCTGACAGTCTCTTGTCTCCACTTCTCGCTTCCTTACCGTCCGGGGTAATTAGGAGATCCGTCTGACAAAGCAAGCCCCGACTCTCTATTTACCTCCCGGACGAGCTCTGTCGGGGCCCAAGCACTTACACTTTGTCAGATAAAGATTCATCTTTCTTTTTTTCTTTTTTTTTACAGATAATTGCCCGCCTCGCATTGCTCACGTTTCAATTTGAGCAGCTCGGGCTGTGGAAAGACGCAATTTGTCTCTGATAATTACGAGAATTGTGAAGGAACTTGTCAGACTGAAATCTCCCAATTATGGTGTCCATTTAACATCTTACCTCAGACTCCAAAATTGATCCTTTAGGCGTCGCCAAAGCCTTTATTTGCAAGGCTGATGTGGCGCGTAAGCCGTGAGCTGAACTTTAAGAGGCAGAACAACCCTTGGCTTACCTTCCATCCTGCGTGTGATGACTTTTGCTTGCAGGGAGGCTGCCGCAGTCTCTAACATGTGCTGCTGAGTGAACTTCTGATGCCACAGTGCCACCTATTGGTGAAAATGTTTAAAAATGATGCAAAGGCACACGTGCCTGGTCATTTTAGCCCAATATTGCCTTTCCCATCCTGCTTATGCGCAATGTAGTTTGATTTTAGGTTTGTTCCTGCATCAGAATAAGAGGATCCAGACTTTAAATGAGACATGAGAATTTCCCGTCTTCTATTCTGCAGTAAAACGGCCTGTTTGCTTGGAGAACCTGTCGATTTGTCTTTGGTAAAATAGTTTTTAAGCCTTGCCCGGGTCCTGGTACAAAGGGAGAAAATAAAGCAGAGCAAATCTCTCATCCCTTGCAACTGTGTGCAACTAATCTTGTTGCTCGGGCAGAGACGAGGTCTAGACATGTCGCAGAGGCAACAATCATCCATCATGTCCGATTATGCCATTTAGATGTAATTGCAAACCCTAGAGGATCGCTCCATGCACTATAAAAATGCACATGCAAGCGCACCGCAAGCACCTGCAACGTTGGAGAGAGAGAGACGGAGAGGAAGGGTGGAATATCAGTTTTGGCTGGGCAGACAGAGAGACGGAGAGCAGGCAGCACCTCCATGCACATTTCACGGACAATCAAATTAGAGCTGGCGTTCGATACATCACTGACAAATTGTTTATTAAACAAAAGGCTTGAATTGCAGCCGAGCCGAGAGAAATTTAGGAGAGTCCTGCGCCCTTGTAAGGAAGGCAGCCCGTTCTCCTGGAAACGCGCCTTTTATGTCCGTTTTCTTTAAGCAGGAGCGATTGTCTGAGACCTTTTGGAAACGTAAACACCAGAATGCAACTGCGTGAATTAGATCACGAGTGTTTTGAGTTCCAGAGGGCCCACCCACGGCCCCAAGAGTCTGTGGTCAAAAGCATCTAGCATAATGTTAAGATAATGTACTCGTACCATTTGTTTCCTGTCATTTTTAAGAGTCAGGAAAGCATAATACTTACATATTTTCCAGTAAATGGAGGTCTGAACCCAGTGATTTAGAAGGAGACAGAAGCACTTATTGTCACAACTCGAGTAAAGCTTTGGTAAAGATGTGTGGAACCAATGTTTGGAACGCTAAGCGAACCGCAGAGGGCTTCAAAAGCAGGAAGCGGACTATGGCGCAGGGCATTATGGGTAAATACAACCTCAGCAAACGTTCCAGTGAAGCGCAAGCAGGAGGAGAAGTCCTAAAATCGCTATAATCTGACGCCACGCCATTTCTGTTTCCATTTTGTGAAGAAGGAAGTTGCGCTCGTCTCTTCTTCAGAGGTTCTTGGTGCACAGGTGAGGGAGTGAACAGGTTTCATTCGACTTGCGAACATTTTTTACACAACACTTTTCTGAACTGACTGATCAAACTCGTCTTGAAGTTCTTACGCTGTTTTCTAAATTGGGAGAAAACGCTAGGTTTCAACTACTTTTTCAGGTTTTAAACTTTATAATGGTGTTGCACATTTCATGTTCATCTAGTTTCAAAGTTTAAAATAAATGACAATCCGACACAAACGGGGGACGTTTGAAAGAGCAGTGTTAAATATTCCAGATGCTACGCTAACAAAACGGTGACTGATTCACTGGTTGGGATAAAACAAGTGACAGCCCGCCGGCGGCGCAGGCGGGGTTTGAGGAGCTCCACTGGATGTTTTGACGTGTTTTGACACCCGGCATTCCCCACGTCGCGGCGTCTGCTCCTCTGCTCGTTCAGTAGAGTCACACAGATGTTGAGCGTTAGCAGCTTTATTTTAAGGAACCAACAAAAACAATAAATCGCCCAACCGGCTCTTGAACCTGTCTGTTACCGCTGAGGTAAATCACAGCGCCGGTGGTCCATGAAATGTTTACTGTACGCTGACAAGCGCAGTCAGGCGAGTGAGGAGGAATGCTAAACAAAAGTGAGGAAACACCGTCCTCCATCAGAGGATGAATGTGTCAAGCTTAGCAAATATAATTGTCCACTGTGGGAGATTGTGCTTTTTTTTTTTTTTTTTTTTTTCTTTGTTGGAGTGGAACTTCACCTGAAAGCTATCTTTGACAGGAAGCGGCAAAATATCATCAGATTAGGTCTGCTGAAGCGGCGAGGAGAAATGAAAAGTGTCTCCCCACTTCCGGGTAGGGGTGGGGGGACTTTGGACTCCATGATGTTGGGGTGCGGTCGGGGCTAAAAGGTCAACTCCTCGTTTCTCCCGCCGACGTATTGTTCCTCCGCGAGAGGTGACGGCGTCTGTCAATCAGGACCTTTGCGGCGGGACAAAGGCCATTCAGAGGCCGCCATGAGAAATGTCAGGGATGCTGAGATAAAAAAAAAAAACCAACAAAAAAAAGATGTTCGGCCTTAGGTGGAGTTTGGGCAGCTTCATGCAGACATTTTCCAGCTTATGTGTGGTCGGTAGGTGACGTAGAATGATGCATGTCTTTAATAACAGTCCATTAGCTCCCTGTGTGTGTGTGTGTGTGTGTGTGCGCGCGCGCGTGCGCGCGTGTGTGTCTTTAAAGCAGGAGGTTGTGCAGAGGCATGTTGGCCACTGATGGGTTGTGCTGGTTTTGCTTGTTGGTCCCAGTGGGACCAGACTGGACTGCTGTCTGTTAACCCTCACCCCTAAACATATTTTTCTTTCTCACCCCTCCACCCCCAACTCCCACACACATCGTCATGGCAGTATTTTGTTAGTTCCTTCCAAAGAAACTAACGAAAGGTTTTATATTTGGTTTTCAACCTGCGGCTTCAGCTCTAATATCTTTATACATGGATTATTCCTGCAATCACTGGATTATTTTTCCATCGGGTGCCAACAGAAAACAAATGGAGTTAAAATTTTTATCACAACATTTTATGGTACTATTGTGAAAACGATAAAAGTGAAGATAAGAACTATTTTTTATAAGTTACTTTATGGCGCAGCGATTATAGTGCAAACACTTCACTTGTAGTGCGCTTCTTTAGGACACAGACAACTTAAAGTATTGCAATTTATATCACACAGTTATTGCATTTAATTATACTTACAGATATATTGATATTTATCGACACTGATTGAAAAACAATCAAATAGCAATCCCGACATAATGACATCTTGTTTTTTTTTCTTTTAAACAATCATTAATTGGAGTTTATTGTGACAACCAAAAACCTAAATTCTTATCATGACAAGAAATTCACCACGATAAATGATAAACGATACGATACATGCCCACCCCTGCTGGAGAAATAAATAAATTGCACATTTGTGCAGCACTCCGGTAATAGTTGGCCCAGTTAGTTCAGGTGGATGATTTGAACCTGATTTTTCCCCTTGGTGTAAAAAAAAAAAAAACAAACTTCCAAGCTAGACTTTTCGCAAAAAAAAGCCCTCCTTTTTAAAACTTCTCCACAACAACAAACATTTCCATTTCTTGGCTCTCTTGCCGCGTTTCGTTTCTATAAAACTTGACTCCGTAGGCTGCTATTTGAAGTAGTAGCACCAGAACCGACGCCAGCTTCTAAAAACACATGTTGGAAAGCAAAGCAGTCGCTCCCCTTCCCCACACAGATCCATTCAGCACCGCACACGTGCTGACAGAATGCACCGAAATCCACAGATCTCGCCCACCACAACAGCAGGCCATAACTAATCCATCTCCCACTACATGTTTTTAATGAGCCTCCATAACCATAATCCGTATGGTGCAGTGCGGCTCGGGCCCAATCGAGCTGTTTTTTGTTTTTTTTCTGACTTTGTGCTGTCAGCAAAATGTGACAAGGGACACGTGTGTGTGTGTGTGCGTTTGTTTGTAATACCTTGTGGGGACGATTTTCCTGACACGTACTACGTTGTAGGGACCCACTGCTCCTTGTGGGGACCGAAGCCTTTTTCGCTGTTTCTGGGTCAGGGGCTAGATTTAGGACTAAGGTGTGAATTGAGTTTTGTTTAGGATAAGGGTAAGGTTTAGGCTGTAGAAATGAATGGAAGTCAATGGAAAGTCCCCACAAAGATAGCCACGCAAACATGTGTGTTTAAGGCCCTCGTGCGTGTATGTGTGTGTGTGTTGCTGTCACAGAACATCTGCGTTGTCGGTGTGCCATCGCGGCTGACGATTTCCCATCTGGTAAGAGAGGGAGGAGTGTGTGTTTATCGTCAAAAGCGGAGGGCTCGGCCTGTTTACCTGCCCTCGTCTGAAAATGTAGCGGGATTATCAGGGGACAGGAAGTGATGGAGCCACGTCGCACGAGTGTGTGTCTGCGTGTGAAAACAAAATGGCTGCCAGGCCCTTTTCAGAAACCCCTAAAGGAAAGCAAATTAAAGCCCCGCGGGGCCAAATTAGAGGCAGCTAACCAAGTTAGAGATCAGCAGTGAGAGGGGTCTGACTGGCAGGACTGGACTGATTTCAACACACACACACGCACACACACACTACATCCACACACCTGTCTTTGTTTTGCCAGTGATCAGGATAAGATAAAAGCCAGTTCCTGACAATAGCAGCCTCTCTTTTGTGGAGTCCACAGGGAGATCCTGGAACGGCACTAACATATTCCTGTAGGTCGGCCTGTGTTAGTGCAATACATTTAAACTGATTTAAACCTCAGAGTAGAAGCTAATTTCTAGGAAATCGCGTTAGGTTTTTATTTGTCCACGCATTTTGTTCTTACTGTAAAATGTTCCTCGACGAGAACCAAAAGTAACGCCATTGTAAATGTAAATTAGACTAAACCAAACAGTAGATTAGTACAAAAAAAGGTGCTTTGAATGAAATTAATTGCAGTGTAGCTTATTTTGGCGTGTCAGAGAAAAAAGGAGGATGATTCAAATACAAATGCCAACATTTAACTGATTAATCAGAGATTAAGTTGAGTGCACAGTAGTTGTTGGCGCTCGATTTTATTTAGGGGTATCAGAATAAGCTAAAAATTATGGTGCTTTTATTCACTTTGAAAGTAAAAAAAACAACAAAAAAACAACTCCTTATGTAATGTTCATTACACCGACTTTGTATTTCTTTTAAATACGTTTAATTCTTGTATGTGTGTCTTTTTGTGGTGATTCGTGGAATAAATGCAGATGTTAGTCTGTTTGTATTTATTTATTTGTTTTGGCACTGTTATCTTGATTTTAGACTAAATGAAAAGTTGACATCTCGGTCATCATCACAATACATATTTTCCTTGTAATTTGTCATCTTTTGACTGTTACTTCGCTACTTCATGTAAATGCCACCTGTTTGCTCTTGACATAGATTAAAAAGTGCTCCGTTGATAAAGGCTGATCATTTGGGGCATCAGATTAAAAAACAAACACATGCCACACTTTTCAGACATTTCTAAAAAAAACCCAAAACACTTAATATCTTCCTTTCACTTACAAATTATGCTTAACTTTGTTGTGGTTTCTCACATGTAGTGGCAATGAGTTAAATAGTTTCACAAGGCGTCCAACTGGGGTCTGCTTTTAGATTGAGGTGGAGCTTCAACACAGACCACCATCGCCACCATCAGGATGAGGTTGGAACGACAGGGTCATCCGAAAGTTGATTTATCATTCATGCATCCAAAAAAAAAAAAAAAAAAGAGCGAGAGTCTTTGACTTTTGGCTCTGAAAACATACAATTTTCACATTTCTACCGTCATGTCTTGTAACTAATACATTTGTTGATATGTTAAAAAGCTGAAAAACGTTTTAAGTATTTTTTTTGTGGAGTTTGGAAATCAAACGGCGTCCTTGTGATGCCACTTTGAAATATCATCCCCATCAAAAGAGTGATAACAGAGAGCAGCTTCCCTTTTTTCTTGTGAGTGATGGACGTGTACACACACGCGCACACAGACACACACACACACATATAAACATATCTGGTGGTGGTGACATTTGTGAAGGTGGACCATCGTAAATCTCCGTTTTATGAGCAGCTCCTGCTGAACCCAGTAGACTGCTGACCACGTTGCCTTGACATTCAAGACCATCATGTATAAAAAGAAAAATGCAGACCTGGAGGTTTAAACTGCCTCAGAGATGTGATTGATTTGCCTCATGAGGGCAGTGAAAGGTTCGCTGTTGGAGGTTAGACTTGTTTCTGTTTTTTTTAAATGAATTTGCTCATTACAATCATCGTAAGCGGAGGCAGACACGTCTGAGTCCTTATCACATTCTGATCTACAAGAGAGAGAAGTCAATCAGTCACTGCAGACAATTAAAAAAAAGAAATAAAACAGAGGTATTTCTTTATTCTAGATACAATTTTATAAGTGTTTTAATATTTTTACACAGTGGATCATTCCTGGGTCCACTCTTTTAGATTTGATATCTCTGTTATGCTGATCTTCAGGCTTCAAACATTAACTTCATTTTTTTTTAAATTTGTGATTCTTCTATGTACTTTGTGGCGTCAGATAATTTAGCAGCTCCAACGCTGACTGTTCTAAAAATAGCTTTAAAGCTAAAAACAAAACCTTATGTTCTACAACTCCAACTAAAAGGTTTTGATAGTCTTGATTGATATTTCTCTCTCCTTCAAGCTGTGGCTAAAACTGAAATTAAAGTTTTGTGAGACATATCTGCAACTTTTAAGTCTTTCGCTGGAGAGACGAAATGTCTTGCGGATGCCTCTTTAACTCTGTTGAGGCAAAGCGGAGCTCTGAGATTCACCTTAAACTTTAAAACTCTGCGTTGGATGCGTTTTGCTTTGTTTGAACATTAATCAAACTTTTTTTTATCTTTTGGTGTAAGGACAAAGGCAGCGTTGCTCTTTGAAATCACACAAAAACTTTATGTTTTTGGGTGAGACACTGTGATGGGTTTCAGAGCAGCTGCTTTTTTAGGGTTTGTGTCAGGAGGAAATCTTTGCTCTGCAGCTCAGAACTCGTTGGTCACCAATGAGACCGCCAACCAAACCCAAAGAGAACAAGAGACAACAAGATCACAGTGGGCAACTCGGCTTTCTCCTGTCACCTTCCAGCTCAAAACCTACCAGCTCAGAAACCTGGTGAGGAGAAGACGTCACAAAGCCTTCAGGTGGCCCAGGCCAGGCTTTCTTCAGAAAAAAAGGAAAACCGACCCAGCTGCAGAGGTGTTGTTAGTCCAAGGCCCAAAGCTCAACCTGCCCAATCCTGACCCCGGCAGAAAAAGACCTGGGGCGCTTATCAGGGGCGCTTTATCTTTCTGACAACTGGCCGGCATCTCGGTCTGCACAACATCAATCAATCTGAGTGATCTTCCAAGTTGTGAAGCGCGAGCGGCCCGTGCCTGCGCCAGCGGAGACCAGGTCAGTGGCTGTGGTGAAGAAAAGGTCACCGTGGCGGTCAAAAAGAACTTTCCAGGTAATGGCTGCTGGAATTGATCAGTTGTGTTTGTTTAGTAGTTGAGTTTCCTCCGGCTCTGTGTGAAAACAGCATGTCTGGGTTAGAGGCCTGAGTTGGGAAAGCTCAGGCTTCTAAGACTGACTTACAGAT